TCTGTATAACCAATTTTAATTCAAAAATTCCTTATATTCATTTTATTTATTTCCAAAATTATTTAGTTTCGTCTCTATATTTTCAGTATGCATTTAATGTATATATATGTATATGTATGTATATACATATTAATCATGTATACCAATATCTATTTGGATGAGTATTGAATTCAAATTTTCCAAATAAAATCAAAAAAAAGGAAAGAAAAATACAAGGAAAAAAGTTCATTTTTCTTTTAAATTTTAGAAGCGTGAAAATTTCCATTTTGAAGTGTTAAATGTACCTTTTCAAGATAAAAAAAAGGAACAAGAAAAAAAAAAAATTAAAAAATTTTCCAAGTTTTTCTTTGAAATTTTTTATCTGCATGTATGTGAATTATATAGCCATGGCTACATGTATGGTAGATTGAGTGTCTGGGGAATGACAAAAATTTACATAAACGTTGTCACAGTTGACAAGGTAAAATACCTTTAATTTCATAGAAATTGACAATTTAATAAAAGTAAAAAAAAAATTTTTGGAATTCAATTTCGATTTTTTTTCTCTTTTGTATTTTTGTGTTTTTTTTTGCGAATATTTTGGTTTTTTTTTTTATATCTATAGAAATAATAAATTATCTTCATTTATATTGCCATTTTTCTTTAGTAACCTAGTAAAAACAATATTAAGGATAGTTACTAGATTGTAGATTTAACTATATGAAATTTTTGCTTGTATATTTGAGGATGTGTTTTAATTTGCAAAAATTTTGTTAAGGACTTCTATGTAAATGAGAATTTTTTAGTAAGTTGCATTGAATGTGCCACGATAAATTATTTTGTAAAAATAAATACTTAAGTAATTAAGTGGTTGGGTTTTGTTCCACTTATTAAAGAACTTGTTAAGGATTTTTATTTTTCGGAAAAAGATATACATAAATTCATGCGCCAGAATGTATAGAGATTCATAAAGCAATCGGAATGAAGATATGAAATATTTTTTGTGCAGGGATAAGAAGTGTAATCGTTTGCCTAGTAAAATTTTAATTTAAAACAAATAAATTTCTAAATGTTATACTGATAATTAAAAATTTTAATTTCAAATATGTCCGACTCTATAGGTTTAAATTTCTGGTTTTGTTCTTCCAATGGGTGAGCAAACAAATGAAATTTTTACAGTTAACTATCTAGTCATTTTACTGTCTTAAATGAATTAATTTTGCAAGTATTTCTCAAAATTTATTCAGTTCGCAATTAATGCATGCAAAGTTGCTCTATATAAGGATACTTAATTATGCCTATTGAATAATCATTGAATTTTAATAATAACCGAATAATTGCATTATAAGTTTTACTATAAACTGTTTTGAGACTCTTTATAAATAAATTATGTTCTTCAATAGCCAGGAAATCGATTATTTCAACTTTTAGCTGTATAAGCGATATTTGCTTGCCAAAGTTTGCGTTACTCATATGACTTAAAATTTTATGCTATTATTCAAAATTTTAAGTTCCTCGCATTTACATTTCCTTTAATATAATTAAAGTTCATATTTAATGGAAAAAGAAAGGCAAAACAAAAAATATTTAGACAAAATCATTATCGTACCAATTAAATCAAAAAAATTAAAATGAAAAATAATAATGATCATTGCAACTTTCTTCTACATACTTAGGTACTTTGGATTTTTTTCTGTTTTCGAAAACATAAAATAAAATACTTTCCCCGAAAAATCCTGAAATAAAAATTTTATGAATATTTTGTTACTTTTCCTTATAAGAAAGAAAAAAATTTGCATTATTTATTCATTTTCCATTTTAATATTTGCATAAAAAATTTGTTAGCAATTGTGGAAATGAAACAAAAAAGAAAAAAGAAAAGTGATAAAACATAAATGAACTGATAAAAAAAGCAAACAAATTACAAAGAAAATAATAGAATCTAGCTTCATTAAATTAAGCATGGGAATGAATGGAAGCATTATGATGAAATGTTATATTGTGTGTGTGTGGTCTCTTAATTCATAATTTAATACACAAAAATTATATTTTACCTAGATTCACACTATTATATTAATTCTTATAAGCACTTTTCCAAAAAAAAAAATTTGAAAAAAGTGCTTGGTAGTTTCACTCAATCTGTCTGTCCATTCGTCCGTAGACATATTTAAACTTCCCGTTGAAGATATAAAGCTGAGTTTCATATGTAAACATAGATCTCGCGAAATTTGTAGAATTTGATTTTGGACCCCTTATATTTCTGAAACAACAAACTTTACCAAATTTCTACAAATGCAGAATCTAACGCCATCATTAACCCTTGAATTTGAGCATTATCTTAACACATCCTTCAATTTTTTTTCCCCTCATCATAAATGTATGCAATATTTCAAACATTTTGGTAAATGAATGAAAGTAGTTTTAATGATTTCGTACATGGATCGTTTTTAAAACCAGTATTTTCACTTGTTAAAAGGGAAAAGTGCTACTTTACAGATTTTGCTTACATTGGCTTGCGCCAACCTTATTTTTTTTAACAATAGCGACGACTACTTTAGCATTGTCCATTCAGAAATTTTTAGTGTTATCAATACCGACTTTTAAAAAAATACTTCATGATTATATGAAAATTCAGTTCTTCTTAACTAGGTTGTTTACCACTGTTGTGAGATTAGTTTTTTATTTCGATTATTATTATTGTTCTGTTAATATTTTTTACTGTTTTTATTAAGCACTTTTATGCAGATAATTTACTGCTTTTTAATAATGTTCATTTTTTAATTCTCCATTTATTTTTCATTTTCATTTCAATTTCATTTTTCCGAAAATCCAAAACTCAAATATCTTTTTTGTTATTTTTTCTATTCGTTTAGTGTGACACTTTTCTATTCAATTTTTTCTAATTTCTGCATATTTATTTTTCACTTTATCTTCTCTTTCTCCTTAATCACCATGATCATCATTAATAACATTCGCTTTTGTGGATTATTTATTACATGTTAAGTTTTTGTTCGAACTTAATTATTTCAGTGCTTTTCTTCATTTATTAATTTTTTGTCTTACACTTCTATTTATTCCGAATGCTGCTCTATTATATTTTCTTGTGTTAACATTTTTTTTTAAATGGAAAACACAAAACTAAAACAGTACTTGCTATATTGTCAATTGGATTAAGGTAATGTCAGAAAAACAAAAAAAAAAATGAAAAAATGTTTCACTTTTCTCCTATAAAATACTTCAATTTTTTTAAACACTTACATTATAACTAAATGCTATTTAACATGTTTTCCATTTTAACAACAATAAATAAGAACATAACAATAACAATAAATTTAACCATAACATAACACTAACAGCAGTGAAAATAATCATAATAATATAAAAATAGAAGAAGAAATATAAAACAAACGAAAAAAACATTTTCTGTTCATTTCTTTTTTCTTTTGTTTTTTGGTTTCAATTCCAAATAACAATAACATAACAGAAGCATTAAGTAAAATAAGTCAGCTAATAAACTAACAATGATTAATGCCACTGCTATACAAAATTAAAATGTTAATTCTTAATAAATTATAACAGTACATAAAAAGAAAAAATGAAAACAAAAATAAAAAGAGAAACAAAATGCGAGCGAACAAACTAAAAAAATTTTGAAACAAAACGCATTTGACTTGACAGTAAAACTTGTCTTGTCAATTATTTGTTTTTTTTTTAATTTTCTTTCGCTCTCATTTTGATGCATGGCAGCTACTGTTATTTGCGTTTGCTACTACTATAATATTTATGTTACTGTCATGGATTATATTACTGTTATGAAAAATAGAAGTTTACGAGAAATTTATTGGCAAATTATTAAATACTACAAGACATCATCGTATTTTATTGTTGATTCTTATGTATATTATGTGTATGGAAGTAATTTGTAGCAATATTAATATTTAATATGATGCTTTCAATATATTAACTGCTATAAATATTCTAAAATTTGAAATTGTAATAATAATAAACAGAAAATAAAATTGAACTTTAAAAAAAATACCCTCCTATCGTAAGCAGCATTATATTTTTCGTTTATCTTGTGCCAATTCAAGAATTAGAGCTCCACCAATTTGTTACCGTTTCAAATAAGGAACTTAAATTTTATCACTTGAGTGACTATTACCAGGCATCCATTTAAATTTAACAGTTATATAAGCAAGTGTATATAATATACATTAATTTTTTTAAATAAATAGTAATACTTACAAATACTTATATACAATAAAATTCTATTGTGTGTCAAAATCGTGCTCCGGAAAACGTCACGGAAAAATTGCATTGTCACTCAAAACCGGCAAACAAGGAATCCATCTTAAAAACCATGAGTTGGAATAACATTACTCAGGTGGCCTCCAATTTTCAAAAATTTTTAAGAGTATTTGTATACTACTCCAACAACAAAATTTTTTGAAGAAAAATGAATAAAGTAATATGGCAATTAGTAATCGTAAAAGCTATGATTAATTATTACAACTGGCAACATTATACTATGAAAATGTCTAAATGATTAAAGAAAACAGGAATCAAAGATAAAAAGATTTGTTGATAAGAAGAAAAAAAAATGATAATAAAAAACAAAAGAGAATGTAAAACAATAATAAAAAAATTTTCACCGATTGCGGCGGGGTTTTACCCTTTTTGTCTAATCTTAAGCTTAACCGTATTAAATGACAAGAGTTATAATGTGCACCATACCATTATCAAGTTAGTAATTGAAATAAAAATGCGAAATAATTTATTTACATTGTTTTGGTTTTTGTATGTTGCTGTCATAGTAGTGTCATGCCAACTCTCAATTTAAATTTTATATATTTATTTTCCTTCCCTTTTTCTTTTCTTCAGTTTTTTTTTGCTTTGTTTTGTCTTTTCTCTCTGTTTCTCTGCTACATTTTTCTTTTCTTTTTATTATGCTGTTATTGTTGTTGTTATTTTATATGTTGTTTATTTTTATTGAGTTGTTTTTATTTTTATTTTTAATTTTTCTCATCAGTCAGTTTTATTAGTCGTGACTGTTCACTAGCGTTTCGTAGCGAGTTTTTAATAAATAAGAAAATTTATAGAAAAAAAATTAATTTTTTTTTCAAGTTGAAGTTTTTTTTTTTTTCTTTTATATTCAATCCGCGGCGCCTAAATACAAGCTTTTCAAAAATTTTGTCAAATGGAAATATAATTAAATTTATATTTTGCGTGGATTTTATTATACTTAAATTTTAATATTCGATTTTATTGTAAAATTTTTATGGTATAAAAGTGAATTTACATATGTTTTTAATATTTTTAATTTAATGTACCCATATTGTATGTTTACATACATGCATACATACATACAAAATTGAGTTAATTTATATTTTATGAATTAAATATTAAAATTTACGACAAAAGCAACAACAACAACAACAAAAAATTAAAATGTGGAAATAAAAAAAAAATAAATTCAGTTAAAAAAATTAAAATTCTTGGCAAAGATGGCAAATGTGAATTTATTACGGAATGAAGTAGTGAAAAAAAGAAGAGTAAAATTAAAATAAATTCACATAAGAAAAAAAAATGGAATTTGTGTCGTGTTACAAATATATCAGCACAGTGTCGTTATCGTGTCAAAATCTTGCAAACTCAAAATAAAAACCAAAAATTGTTTTATTTTAAAAACACACAATTTTTCTTTTAATAAATAAATGCCTTCCTTGCAAATAGGTATAAAAAAAAAATATATTTTTTTTTAAAAAGTACTTGTATTTTTGTTTTGCACGCAAATTAAATATGCGCGTAATGCTATGATTTTAAATTGAGTGCCAAATTTTTACGGTATAGATAATAAAAGAAAAAAAAATTAATTTTTTCTCTTTTTTTTTTATTTTAAATCAAATAAAATATTTCATACAAATTTTGTATACAATATTGAAAAAATATTTTTAAAAGCAAAAAAAATTTCGAAATTTATTTTCGAAATTATTGTGTTATTATTCTTTATTTAAATAAAATGTGGTGAAAATTATTAAGCAAATAAAATACACAATAAGGTTTATTGGAAAGAATTATGTGGTGAATTTAAACAAAAAAATTTTTTTTAAAAATAATAAAATATTAAAATTTATTCTATGGTGAATATTTTTTAAATTCTTTATAAAAATTTTGATTTCACTTTAATACGCGATTGTTATATTTTTCTTTATTAAATATTTTGATAGTTAAATACTCATGGATTTTCGAATTTTTTTTAGAGGTTACTAAATATTTAATTTTTTGTTTACTTATCACAATATGAGTATATAAATATTCTTATATTATTTTGTAAACAATGGCAAAGATTTCTATTTTAAGCTATTGACTTATTCAAAAAATTATTATTTATGTTTTTTGTTTTCTTATTAAGTTTAATCAATAGAATTTTAATATTTTGATTATGATTTTAAATTTTGACTAAAATCAAAATAAATAATAATCGAAATTTGTATAAAAAAAAAAAACGATTTAAAAAGAATTCAGTTAGGTCATCAATAATTTATTCTATTGACTTTGTTTTCGTTTTCGAATTTCTGTATTAAATTCCCTGTTTTAAGTATTGATAAAAAATGAGTATGAAGACGTAAATGAGAAGAAGTATTGAAAATTGTAGGTCTTGTGTAGAGTCATATTTGTAAGAATTTAAAAAAGAAATAACTTTCTTTTGATTGCAAAAGTAATGTAAAGCCGGAAAATATGTCAAATTTCACTTGCGATTTTAATCAGAAAGTAAATAATCTACATGGCAATAACTATATTGTAAACTGAAGTATATAATACTGTATTACGATTTCAAAATCATTTTATATAGAAAAAATCGGAACATCAATTTGGGAAACGGAAATACGCGATTAAATGGTCGAAATTAAATTTTATAACAAAATAGCTTTAAATTTATTCAGTTTACTTGGTCGAATTCTTATTTTCAAATACTTATTTTTGAAAATTTGCAAGAAAAGAGTTTTAGTAATTGATTTTGTGACTGATGTAGAACTTTAATAACTCACTTGAATAACAGAATTTTTAGATATATTTCAAAGCGTTATGTTGGGAAAAAGTTTATTATTTAAGCCACTTTTAAATTGGATAACATTTCTTAGAAAAAATTTTCTAGTATTTATTATTAATTTTTTGAAATATTCTGATTTCTTATAATTTTATTCGTTTTTCGTCTTGTTAAACTTAGAAAAGGGCATATAGGCATAAGGTAAGTGTCCCTATTACTGACATACTTCGCAACAAATTCAACTTTGGCATGAGATATTTTATATGTGGGATACAATAAATGATCGTGTTTTCGATTTTTTGAATAATTTGGATAATTGAGAATAATGTTTTTTATAAAATTATTTAATCAAAATATTTTTTAATTCATAATTTTTCGATTAAAAATGAAAAGCAAAAATGTTCCTAATATTGACATAACCGCAAATGTTTGTGTCTATTACTGACAGTTTGTGTTCCTAATACTGACAATGTAATTTCATATGCTGTAATCTATATTCTATATATGAATAATGGTTAAAATGGTTAAAATGATAATATTAAATAAAAATGGAATAATATTTTAGATTTCTACGGATATTTCATCTTATTTCAAAAAAAATTAAAAATGAATAAAAATATAATTCAAACAAAAATAAAAAACATATTTTTTATTGAATTAAAGGTAAAAATATGTGAAATTCAGCTGATTTGAATTTATTATTACTGTAGAATGTACTTTTGCTAGTAGTCTTAATATGCAACAATGAATAAATAAAAATTTTTAAAAGATATGAAAATCTAATTCGAAATTACATAATGTTTTATAAAGTATTATAAGTAATATTTGCTACAATTGTATTCCTATAAATAATACCTAAAATATGATGTACAATATCACACGAAATTATAAGAAATCAGGTCAATATATTCTAAAGCTGCTAATAAGCCTATTCTAAAGCTGCTTTTTGCTTTAACAAAGACTATTTATGTATTAAGTACGTAACGAAAGCAACCCATTCTCAATTTTTAGAACAACATTTTGGGTTATTAAAAAGGACTACTTTTCTTATTTAAAGAGAACCATTTCCGTTGTGATATTTGTTATGACGTTAACGTTTACAGTAATTTTAAAGCATTTTTTTAGAAACCGAATTGTACTGTTTTATTGACAGTATTGTATACAATATTGATACACAATTTATTAGACGAATATCACTATTAAAAAGGTAAAAAGGTCGTTGTCAGATATAGGTTTTCACAAATGTAATAGATTTTCATTTGACTGAAATAGTTTAAACAATTTTAAAGTATAAAGAATTTATTTTAATTAATTAAAATGAATATCAAAATTAAAACTTTATACTGACATAATTTTGTACATAATATTGACCCTCTTTAGATCGTATTACTGACACCAGTTTTTAAAGGTAAAAAACTCCCAACCTGTAGTAAATTCTTAGTGTCAGAATTCGGACATTAGAAAGAAAATTCAAATTCGATTTTAATTAAATAAATACGAAAATAAAAATTTAAATATTTTAAAAATGACGTAATTTATAAAAATACGGATTTTTGACGTATTACTGACACATATGTCAGTAATAGAAGCATGGTCGAATTTTAGATGTTTCTAATACTGACAGAAATTATTTGTTAAAATTCTTATTTATTTAATGTTTTTACTCCGAATTACTTATAAAATAAGATAAAAAATAATCAAAATATTTAATTTAATATAAATACATATATTTTTAACCCTTGCTTTTTGACTTAAAAGCAATAAAAACAAAATCGGAAAAATTAAGCAAAAAGTATAAGAAATTCTCCAATTCAACCCACCATTGCTATGTCTATGGAAACAAAACTGATTTATGTTCAATATTTTGGAGTTATTTCAAAACTAAATAAAAGGAAGTATTGCGATAATTTGAATTAATCTAGAAATAAAAAAATATATATATGTTGTATAGAGAAAATCTCTTAATAATTATAAAAAACCTCATATATGTCAGTATTACCGCCACTGTCAGTATTAGCTACACTTACCTTATTACAAAAGAAATTACTATAAAAAATTTTGAAGAACTTTACATTTAAAATTCATGTTAAATTTCTTTAAGTGTTCATGCGCACATAAGTAAATTATCTGATTGTACAGTTCGGTACTTGTGCTTAAGATAATTACATTGAAGTAGATTACAAATTTAAAAATTAAAATTAAATTATAAAAATTCGATTGAAAAAATATAGGTATATATGCATGCATTACACTTATAAGTACAATTTTATATAAGTAATTAAACAAAAAAAAACATAATGAACGCTTCAGTACTCAAAACTCAATGCAAATCGTTATAATTATGGACAATTTTGCACTATATCTTTTAAACCTGCTAACTATCTTTTAAACCTGTAGTTATAAGTAATTTGAATATTGTGCAATTTGAATGCTTAAGTATGTCAAAAGTATCGAAATTTGTATTTGATCAATACTTAAGTCTATTGCCATTAGTCTTACTGCATAAGTAATTTAATTTTATTTTATATCTGCTTATATGCTCATACTCACAGATTATATTGTTGATATACACAATTATACACAGGCAAACATAATAAAAAATTCACATACAAATTTAAAATTGTTCTAATTTTTTCCTTTTAATGTCATATTATTTTTTAATTAAACTCCTTATTGCCTTTATACAATTCAAGAATCAAGATATATCTAATATCCGTTCGTTTCGAATAAAACAAAAAAAAACTAATTAAATAAAATTAGTTAAGAAAAAAAAAATTAATTTTTTTAATTTATGTGATTATTTTTTTTTTTATTGATTACATATTTACAATTTTAAGAAACAGTTAATTTATTATACAAAAGTTATTATTATACAAATCCACAAAATTGTAACATGAAGTTCAGAGTCCAGTCCGATAATACTAATCAGAAAAAAAAAAGAGCGAAATATACATACAAGAAAAAAATCAATTTCCGTTGATGTTTTAAAATTTTGTGTTTTTTTTCTGTTTTATGCTTTCGTCTTAATTTAGTACTTATACTTTGTTATACACTCTTTTTTTCATTCAAAGCATAAGCATATTATTAATATTAATGTACATGATCTTAACAAAAACTGGTTGGTTATAAATATACGTATATACATACTACATAAACAGCAGAATATTAAATATATATACTTATAAAAAAATAAAAGGAATATTAGCGAATATATAATTTTAAATGTTTAACGTATATAAACTAAACCATATGTTAAAAAAAAGCAGTATGAAGTTTAAAGACCGGTAGATTTTAATCGAATCTCTGTTCAACCTTTTTTTTTTCTTGTTCTTGTACTTATTGTGATTGTTCTTTTCCTTTTATTATATTTTATAGCATTATTATTATTTCTTCTATATAAGTATATAATATACAAGTAAATGTGGATGCAAAATCAAAATAATTATTATATACACACATCCATATTGAATACATTTATTTACACTAGTTGTCTTGGTCAGTTATTGCTGTTCTTTTACACTATTATAAATAACCGTGTATTTTTCAACAGGAAAATTATATATATGTATATATACATATATATTTGCATGTACACACTGTTCATACCAAACACCTGATATTAAATCTCATGTACATTTACTGTATACTTTGATATATAATAATTATTTTACTATTATTAATGTTT